CATGGGTGACACATACCCCGTACTAGTACCATCTCCTATCCCCTCTTAGTGGGAGTCTTGTTTTTATTTGGCTGGATACAGGCTTTCAAGAGCTGATGGTCTTTAGTGGAAGTGTGATTCAGGAAGTAACAAGTGGCCGCTCTTTTGTACTTCCAATCAGTAACTTCTTTGTTAAGTAAAGTAGTGTGTGTGTGTGTGTGTGTGTGTGTGTGTGTGTGTCTAACTTTTTCCTTTTCCACTTCTCATGTTGTTCCCTCTACCCACAACTAATTTTTTGGGGACTGTTGCATGTGATTTCCCCTCCCCCGCCCCTTTGCTTGCCATGCAGAAGCAGGTTTGCTGCTCTGAAATGATCGCAGGAAGCAGTGTCAGGCTACAGTGGAAGCTCTGCCACTCAGATGTGGTGGGTGGTGGTTTCTGATAGGGATAAGATTAGTTTGAAAACTATCAGCAGCTGTGTTGCTGAAGGGCAGTGCTTCTCATGCAGCCTGGCCTGCTGCCTCTTGGCTACGGCTGCATAAAACCAGAGTTGATTACCAACAATTCCAGAAACACTTGGCTATTGTACGGATAAGGGATGAGGGGAAGGGAATGAAAGCTTTCTGGACACAGTAAGCAAATATCACTAACTATTTTGGTGGGAGGAAGGAGGCTAAACTTCATTGTAGAGCTGGGGATGCTGGGATGGAGACTGAAAAGCCCCAGGATTTGAGGCAAATTCTAGAAAGCAAAAGGATCCATGTTGGCTCATTTTAGATTAAGAAACTGTATAACAGTTGCTTTATAACTAGCAAACTATCTGTTCTTACTGTTCTCTTTTATGCCCTACCATACTGCTGCTGTTGGTTAGTGACTTGTAGTTCCATTGCTATAAACAACGGAGGTGGTAGCGAGGAATTTTCCTCTAGGGACCCATGACTTGGGAGCTCACTTACCCGTCTGGGTCTGCCAATGCCTGATTTCCCCCCCCCCCTTTTCTGCCCCCTCCCCAACTTTCTGGATGTGCTGCAAAGCTTATCCCTTTCAGGGTGTTATGGAAAGGGGGTGATCAAAGGGAGGGACTTGCTGGATTTTTATTCATATCCAAGTTATTTCTATTTTGCTTTGTATTGTGTATTTCAGAGGGTGGGTATTTATAAAGGTTTGTATAAATCTAGATTAGTTTATATATAGGACCATATTGTCAGCCACTGCAAAAGGACACAGGTCCAGTGATGTAAATGGAGCTGCACCTGTTCACGCCAATACAAGAGCTCATAGACTTTAGCCTTAGTGCTCAGGGCAATGTCTCTTGGTACCGAACAACCAAAACCGAAGCTTTCCTGAAGCAAAGCCCTTCTGATTTTTGTGTGTGTGTGTGTGTGTAAGCACCAAAGTTTTGTTCAGAGCTTTTTTTAGTCCCTGCTGGGGAAGGGTGACTGGAACAACTCCTGTGCCCTTCATCACAGCTAGATCTTGGAATTATGCTAGTTCTTATTTTGGGTAAAACTGCTGATTATGAGGATCAAAACTGCTGTCCTTTTGACTGCAGTAGATTCTATAAAGCAACTTTATTAGATTGTTAAAGTAGCACATTGACTGGCTTTTATCCAATAACTAACTAGATGTCTGACAGCATACAGTAAAGGTTGAAATCTAGTATGAATTGGTAAGAGAACTATTACATTTAGGTGAACTCAAGGAACTTTTCTTGGTGCTCCTGGTATCTGTTTCTGTCGGTAGGTCTATCTGTCTTCATTTTAGCAATGCAAAGTAACAGCTAATGTGTGGGTTGTTTTTTTTTCCCTCCCTTCCTTACAGTGCCTCCAAAGCCAGTGCATCTGCAGAATTCATTTTTATCCATCACACACCAAACCCCTACACGGAAAGCTTTACCTACTGCACAACCAAGAATGGAGGAAGTCACACCTACCTCTGCTTCTTGTGTGTCAAAGGAAAAACCCAGCAAGGTGTCAGATCTCATCAGTCGTTTTGAAGGAGGCAGGTAAGTCACTTGCTTTCTTTTAAAAGTAAGGGGTAAAGGGCAACGTGTCCTAATTCTTTTAACAACACTCTGTGGAGATTAATGAACTATAATGTATTGCGTAAATGAATTGCATATGTTGTGAAAGTATAGACTCTGGTATTGCTCTTACTGAAGTCAATGGCAGTCTTGCTACTGATTTTAAATGGGAACAGAGTAATGCCTATGATAACTATTTGATATCTCCCCAGGATTAGCTGCAACACAGTGCTTCTTGCTCTACAATATATTGTCTAATTGCAATATTTCATTAAAAGAAAAAATGTGTTTAAACAAACCTAACTTGTGGTGGTCTGCCTAATACTTGTAAATGTTGATTTAGAATATTAATTAATAATAGAAACTTAACTTTTTTTAGGCCTTGGAATACACACTTTTTACAAGGTTAGTTTCTCAAGCACAATCTGTAGTGAAGTAAATAATTTGCATGATTAAAACATCCTGAAAAATGTTCATAGTTTGGAATAAATATTTAAAATGCAATTGTTCAGGTAACCTTAATTCCTTTTGTGTTTAATAATAAATATCATGTTATAAAAAGTGGAATCATTTGAAATCTTAATTTTCCTTTTGACTTTTCATGCTGGTTTACCCTTTCTTACATCATTCCGCATAAACAGGAAAACTAAATGGGTCCCTTTCACTTATCTGTTTATGGTGCATTTCACTTTCTGGTTATAGTGAACTAGAACATTGCTGCTGTTCTTCATTTTACAAAAGTGCAGGCAGATATTTAGAACACTGAAAAATATCAGCTGTGATGACATTTACTGTTCACATCATTTTTTAAAATCAAAATATACACAAAGGGACTAAATGCTCAAAAAACACACTTTGAGGCAGTGAGAAGAAACATATTTCTAATACTATAACAAACTTTTTATATCCATGTCCCAAGAGATTTCCATAGTCCTGTATACACATGAAAGGTCAATTCCTCTACTCAAGATATGATGTGTGTGTGAACATAAATTTAAAAGAGGAAAAACTGGAATAACTACCATCAGAAGAGGAAATAAATTTTAAGTGAACATAATCTCAGGTGTTCTCTTCATCTTAAAAGGAGACGTATCAAATAAAAACAAACCCCAGGTAGCTCTTTGTTTAAACAATTGGATAAATGGTCATAAATATTATACGGTCACCTTTCAGAAAGCTGTAAAACCTCAGACTGGGCCAATTCTAGGAGCAGCGAGAGTTGTGTAGTGGGTATATATGGCATTGGGCTTCCAGTATCTCAAGGACATCAGCATTCTGAAGGAACATTTCCTACATTAATTTATGATTTATTATGCATCGCCAGTCCACTAATTTAGGGCCAATGTGCACACATGCATCAGAGGGCAGAATTTGGCCTTCAGGGGGTGGAATGCATCCTAAGATAGGAGTAGTCCAGTGCTGCAAGAGGAGACTTTGTTTACTAGAAGACCAAGACTATCACTGGGATGATGAGCTTGATCTGTGAAAGGAAAAGGAGCCTCTAACCTATTCGAGATCTCATCTCCCTGCTACACTGCCATGACAGCTGTGAATAGGGAAAGGGGAAATGGAGTGTTGGAGGATTTACAGGAACTCTTTCAGTTTAGGGCCCGCCCCCCAGTTTCTGTTTTGTTTTCCTTTTTATAATCCTCCTGAAGTATCAGTCTCAGAATTCTTTTAACAGTCTGGTATCCTTAGGAAAGCTACTCTTACTCTTCCATCTGCTTTAAGAGTTATCCAGTCTGGCAGTGACCTACAATGAGGCCTGTTTAACAAAAGACTGGAAATGTCATGATGGAGCTGCATGATACAAGATGGGTTAACTGACTCTCGTTATGCCACATGATGAATTTTCACCCATCCTTCAAACTCAACTGCTTCATTTTTGGTTAAGGTGGGAAATAAAAGAAATCCAAACATAGCCATAGGACTTCCACCCCTCCCTGCTTTTTCCAAGGTTTTATCTTCTTGAGAGAGATCTGAGATGATCTCATGCATCTCCTTGATGATGGAAAAAAATCCAGGGAACCTTCTAATTACCCTCTAATATCAGGGTCTCCTGACTGGGAATTACACAGGTAGCATGCTTTGATATGTCATCCTCAGGAGGAGGTATGTTGGTTCCATCTTTTGGGGATGTCTGAATGGTTTTGAGACGTCTGTACTATTTGGAGATCAAAGGGAACTATATTATGCTAAAGCCGTATTATTCCCTATTTACAGTGTTTGTTCATTTTTACTTATAAACATGGGAATTGCCTTACATGAAGAGATAATTGATCCATCCATCTAGTGTTTAATCCCACACACTAGCCTGTAGCTGATTTCTAGAGCGAGGCTAATCCTTCTTTGAGAAAAAGCCTCCATAACACACCTGCCCAGTTCTGTGTTGTTGTTGTGGGCTGCGGAAAGAGAATTTTTTTCATATCCTCAGTTGGCAGTGTGCTGCTGCTTTAAAGCAGGAAGACTGACAGCCTCTGCCAATCTTTTGTCGTTGTATACCCAAACTGTGCAGTAGTAAGACTGCATCATTTATCACTTTATACAAAATAGTTTTGTCACCACAGTTCTTAATTTTTTTATTTATTTATTTATTTATTTATTTATTTTGGTAAATATGAATTTCAACTAAAACAGCAACATGCAAGTATTCCTTTTCATCCCAGTGATTTTACACTAATGCAATAAAACTTTATTTTATAGAGTGTCTTTAATGTTAACAGTAGCCCAGAGTAGGAACCTTGAAAGAATACCGCAGAAAGCTAAAATTTGGGGTACATGCCAGGGACAGATGCATGTTTGGGACTGACTTGAACTGATGAGACCCAAAGAGAAAGAAGGCTTTCCTCTTGATAGTGACAAGGATCTGAAAGAGTGGCACTAAATAAGTTGACTGACCTGGGACTGGACTATAAAGATAAGCATGTAGAGCTAGATTAAGAATATAAAGTTTTTACTATATTCTGATAAAGAAAGGAATAGGGAAAAATTAAAAGAAAGTTTCTTGCACACTTAAGTGTAGCCATGGGAACAGAGTGGTCTATGAACAGAGCATTGGACTGGGATTTAGGAGATCTGGATTCTATTTCCAGCTCTGCTGCTGGCCTGCTGAGTGACCTTGGACAAGTCAGTTCACCAATGTGCCTCTGTTTCCCCGTCTGTACAATGGGGATAATAATACTGTCTACTTTGTAATGTTCTTTGAATTCTACTAGTGAGGAGTGTCATATACGTTGTTTATTAACAGGCAGATAGTGGACACCATTTTAATTTCTAGAAAGATGTGTCCTGTTGCCATGTGACTTGTTGAATTAAATATGGCATTACACCGTGGAAGGCCTATATTAGACATGTTCTGCATAACTGAACATTTCTAATATTAGCAAATAAAAAAATAGCTTTGAAGAAATTTAAAGTTGTGCGATATAAATGCCCTCCGAAAATAAAACACTTTTTTAATGATGCCCTTAACTCTTTTTTTCTTTTTCTTTTTTAACCTTTTAGTCCCTCGAGTCCTAGTGATTTGAAGAAAGAATCCTCTGTTGTAAAGGTTGCTAAATCTCAAGGAAGATGTGGGTCAGCATCACCTCAGCCAAAAGTCCTCTCCCAACACCCACTACAAAAGCAGGGAAATAATACAGATCAAACTCAGGTTGTACAGAAACACACGGCGAATGGAGTAGTAGCACAAAGCCAGATGGAATGCAATGACAATAAATTTCCGAAACATAGCACCAATACAGCCACTCCAGCTTCAGATGTTGCAGTTAACAGTAACTTAGTAAATGGGGAACAAGAAAGCACTACTACAGACTCACTGCAAGCTACAATGGTCTGCACAGGACAAACTCTTGACTGCTGCAGGACTCCAAGCAGGGACTCGCTGTTCCCATCTGAAAATGAAACTGTAGAAACTAATATTAATGTAGAGGAAAAACAGAATGAGGAACTCAATAAGGAAGATGAGCATGTTGAAGCAAAGGTAAAATTACATTCTGTATTTTTTCCTTGCGTATAACTGTTCCTATGTTTCTCTGTGTGTTTCGTATAAAAAAAAAAGTTGTATAGAGCTATTCAAAAAGGAAGATATTTTTGATTCCCCCCCCTCATTTATTTTTTTAAACTTTGAAAAAATGTGACCAGCTCTGCAAATAAATAAAATCAAATAAAACCAAAAACCTTTCAACAATAGATTAGCCTTTTAATGAGGCACTTTTGAAAATGCTGAATACTTTTAACCTGTGGAAATAGACCCAGGATAGGTGCTGTGCAGTGACATTATTATGTCCCAGTGCACCAAAACTGGGACTCCTCAAAGATCTTCACTATGCAAAATTTGGCAACCCTTCCAAATTGTCTGGTGAAGGAGGTAAGAAAGGGTATTTTTGGAAAAGACTGTAACGGACCTGAATTTGCATGTCTAGTCATGTTGTTTGTGCTATGAGAGAAGGTGGAGGAACAAATGGTTGGAGTGGCAAAAAAACACACACTAACACAGCAGCATCAAGACATGTGGAGACAGAACTGGCTTGTGAGAGCTTAGCTCAAGTATAACCCTCTGAATGGATCTAGCAAGACAATGGGAAGCCACTGGGATGTCCCTGTTAGACACAAGGGATGAAGAGATACATTTATCCCTTGTTGAAATCCCATTGAAGTCAGTGGAATTACACTGGGGATGAATCTGAGATTTCCTAGTAGAGACTTTTTGTTGTCGTTAAGAGGAAATGAGTGGGTGAAAGTGAATTGGTGTTGGAAAATCTAACTGCAAAAAAATTCACATCCTGGTTCAAAATGCAGATGACTTCGTAGTCTGAGTCACTGTATTGTAACAAAACCCTGGCCAGCTAGATTTGTGTGATTGCCACTTTGCTGCACACCGGGGTCACTTGGAACTTCGAGGGAAGAGAGGAATAGAACCAAGTTCTTGGTCTTGAAAGCACAGCCCACTAATACTTGAGGTAAAAGACAATCTGTTGCAATGTAGGGCCTGTCAGACAGAATTAGCACGCTCAAGTGTGTATCACACACACACACCTCATGTCTCTCTCCCTACCTGTCAGTTTGCTATAGGATTATGTATTTTAGCAGTTTGTGGGTGGAGGCTTTCATGATTTTGTACTACTTTTTTTTCCTGATGTGTATTTTGTTCCCACAAATTTTGTCTTGTGTATTTTCTTTTGGGTTTTCACTTATGGAAGAAACAACATCTATCACTGGGCATTTAATTTTGCATAGGTGGTGATCCTGTGTGTGTGCAAGATAAACAGTGCATAGGAAACTTTCACATGTGCAGTGTTGAATATCTTAGCCAGTGAATGGGAGGTTATACTTGTTGCTGGTGAAGAGTGTTAGGATCCCATCTGTACAAAGGTCTGATTGGAATCCAAGGTACCTTTGCCCTGCCACACCTTCTATTATATTTCTTTGCTTCCTGTTTTGTGGTGACGCCTGTTTCTTTTTATGTGCATGTCTAGGCCAGTACAATACACTGGACACTCCTCAGGCAATACGGAATGGGAATCCAAATTATGCAACAGGTGTTAGCAGTATGTACAGGAAAAGGCAGAAATATGAGGCTGCTGGAACATAAAATACAGGAAGGAACTGGGCAAATGCCTGGAGAAAATGCTAACGAGAGCATCTGTGCCTGCTCTTGGCCTCGTGGATAACCAACAGATGTTATCTGGCCTAACTGACCAAAAAGAATAGATATAATATTTGAACCAGTTATGGCTAGATGCATTATCCTTTGATGCTAGAAGAATAAAGAAGCAGACACAAAGTCAGCATGGTTAAAATCTAGAACAGTAATACCAGCCCTGGAACATTCAACACCCAGTATATTACATTAGCGATGACAGCTGTTTCTGAACTATATATTTGTTTGCAATATGAACAAGACCTTCATTCAGTCCTGAGTGCAGACTTTCATTACCATCTTCAAGAAATGCAGAAGCAGATGATGATGTTGTGAATGAGAATGGAAAAGAAATGCATGTGCAATTTTATTTTTGCCTAACATCCTAACTTGACAGCAAAAAAAATAACAGGACAGTGTAAATGCAATCTAACAATTAGCAATAGCAGTAGACATAAATTAACATAATACAGTGGTTCCCAAACTGTGTACTGTGGTTCCCCTGGGGAGCCATGAAGAGCTCATGCGCGAGCCACAAGTGTTTGGGAACAAATTTTAATCTATATGCCTGTTTTTTTTCCCTAATTAGGACACAATTAAATTGGACTCTCAATTAAATTGGACCTCTATCTATGGGTCTGTGTCTTATGCTGCTGTTGGGACTGGGGTAGCCTCTGTGTCCTCCACTCCTAGGGCGGGCTCTCAGCGGAGAGACTTCCTGCTGTGGGAAGCAGTCAGTAGGAAGTCTCTCAGCTGAGAGCCCCCTGCTGGAGTATAGGGCACAGAAGGTATGTCTATAGTGCCCATGGACTCTCCATCGAAGCAAGCATCTGTCTCTTCCCCCCACGGCTAGAGACTTGGACTAGTGGGCCTTACGTTAGCACTCTAAAAATAGCTGTCTAGACAGTGCTTT